TGTGCCAGGGGTGGACTGACCATTTGGAAATTCAGGCACTGTCCGAGGGCCTGGGGTCAGTAAGGGGCCCCATAAGATGCCCCTGGTACCTTTTTTATAGGCTTTTTTTGAGTTTGGGCAAGGACACAGGGGCCCCATGATCCCCTATTGGCTGGGGGCCCCATGAGTTGTCAGTCCGCCCCTGGTAGGGGGCCCCATGAGATGCCCCTGGTACCTTTTTTATAGGCTTTTTTTGAGTTTGGGCAAGGACACAGAGGCCCCATGATCCCCTATTGCCTGGGGGCCAGTTGTCAGTCCGCCCCTGGTCTGTGCCCATACCTACCGGTCCTTGTTATTTTGTCTCCTTCAAGTATACATTTCTTGATAAACCTTTTTGGAGGGTATTTTTTTCTTTTTACTTACTGCGTTTGCTAATATTCAAGCACAGGACTTCTCTACTGCATATTGCTCAGCCGTTTAATTGTTGTCCTAACCTAATCAGAAACAGCTTAGCCACTTGCCCTCCTGAGGATTTCCCCCCCTTCCTGACCAGGCCATTTTTTACGATATGGCGCTGCGTTACTTTAACTGACAATTGCGCGGTCAATGCAATGCTGCACCCAAATAAAATTTACGTCCTTTTTCCCCACAAATTGAGCTTTCTTTCGGTGGTATTTGATTACCTCTGCATTTTTATTTTTTTACACTATAAACAAAAAAAGACCGACAATTTTGAAAAAGAAAACAATATTTTTTACTTTTTGCTATAAAACATGTCCAGTAAAAAAATAAAAAAAATAAAACGTTGTCATAAATTTAGACCAAAATGTATTCTGCTAAAAAAAAAAATCCCAATACGTGCAAATTAACTGGTTTACGTGAAAGTTATAGCGTCTACAGATGGTGGTATATATACTGGAATTTTATTTTTTTATACTAGCAATGGCGGCAATCAGCAACTTATAGCGGGACTGCGGTGGACATTCTGACACTGGGGGGAGCACTGACTAACTGTCACTGACATCCCCAGTGACACTAACCTAGTGAGCAGTGCTAATAAAAAGCACTGACACTGTACTAATGACACTGGGCAGGAAGGGGTTAACATCTGGGGCAATCAAAGGGTTAACTGTGTGCTGTTTAACAAACTGTGCTGTGTGTGTTTTACTGTGTAAGCATGCTGCTTTGTATAGCTCTGCTATGCAGAGTCATACAAAGCAGCATGCTGATGCTGACAGGGGAGAGATCTGTATTGTTTGTATACAGACCTCTCTCCTGTCAGTGTTCCTCGGTGCCGGTGGGGAATCTTCAGCCAGGACCCAGTGATCGCCAGCTGTAGCCGCCGATGTCGCCCTCTACCCAGAAATACAAAATCATTTATATACAGTACATATGTGATTTTGCGCAGCCCTGTTGGGTCGGGAGGCTGTTAAAGATCAATAATAGTACAGGCGTACCTCGGTTTGCGAATTTAATGCGTCTCCAGGACTTTTCGTGTTGTGAAAAATTTGTAAACCGAAACGCGGTTTCCCATAGGAATGCATTGAAAACCAATTAATCTGTTCCGGAGGTCAGAAAAAATAAAAAAAAAGTATTTTACCTGTTCAAAACTCTTTATAAAGTGCACTTTAACCACCTCCCGTCCGGCCGTTGTATATAAACGGCCGGACGGTGGCAGTGCAGGGGCGGGTGGCCATTTATAAATGGCCCCCTGCTTGTGCACGCTCCCAGTGGAACACCGATCGTCATACGGGACCTCTGTGCGAGGTCCAGCTCATGTGATCACTGATTGGCCAATCAGTAATCACATGCAGAGTAGTAAGCAAGATGTCATTTCTGACACCATTGCTTACTATGTGTAAAATCTGTGAATGATCACAGAGATCACATGGTACAAGGCTATCCACAACAGCCTTGTACCATGTGACAAGCTGTGACCAATTACAGCTCTCACAGTATTTCTCAATGGCTGCAAGAATGCAGCCAGAGAGAAGGAGAAATGATTGCTTTTACAGCCTTTATGGGTGTAGAAGCAAGCAGTGTAAAAAAAAAGAAAAACAATTCTTCATCACCCCCCACAAGTAGTACAGTGTCACCATATATATATGGGGCAAACTGGCAACTCATGGGGCAATAGGGGATCATGGGGCCCCTGTGTCTGCCCACATAATGGGGGGGGGCTGTCAGGTTGGCTGTAAGGGACCCCATGCTTTCTAACAGCATCTGTGTGTATATATATATGGGGCAAACTGGCAACTCATGGGGCAATAGGGGATCATGGGGCACCTGTGTCTTCACCCACACTCAAACCACACCCAAAACAGCCTAGGAAATGTACCAGGGGCATCTCATGGGGCCTACTACTGATCCCAGGCCCTTGGGCAGTGCCGGAGAGCCGCCATGGTCAGTCCGCCCGTTTCCCATATATATTTAAAAAGAAGTGTGAACCGAAAGTTTTGGACTTCACTTACTCCCACCATCATGTAGGGACCTGCTAAAGCTGTCCTCTTTCTTTTTCTGCCCCTGTCCTGTTATGTCTGCGTCCATACCTACCAGTCCTTGTTATGTTGTCTCCATCAAGTCTTGATTAACCTTTCTGGAGGGTGTTTTTTTTTAATTTGCTGTCCTTGTACCAGGGGCGGACTGACAACTCATGGGGCCCCCGGGCAATAGGGGATCATGGGGCCCCTGTGTCCTTGCCCAAACTCAAAAAAGCCTATGAAAAAGGTACCAGGGGCATCTCATGGGGCCCCCTACTGACCGAGCCCAAGCCCGAGTTTCCAAATGGTCAGTCCACCCCTGCCTTGTACTCAATGAACCCCTACAAGGGCTTGCAATTCTATACTTTTAAAACTTCAGTTGCTTTTGTTGTAAATCATAGTGAAAACTAGACTGTAACCTTCAGACTGTTTTTTTTTATAAAGACACCTACAAGAACAACAGAACAAAGCTCTCCGTTACCTACAACAACACCTGCACCAACGACAACACCGGTAGGTGGAGTTGGCCTGCTGAATCTGTCCTCCTTCTTCTGCCCCTGTCCTGTTATGTCCATACCTACCACTCCTTGTTATGTTGTCTTCATCAAGATTGATTAACCTTTTTGGAGGGTGTGTTTTTTAATTTTGCAAGTTTTACTTATTGCGTTTGCTAATTTCCAAGCACTGGTATTCCCTATTGCATACGGCATAACTGTTTAATCTTTGCCCTAACCAAATCAGGAACAGCATAAAGTGTTAGTAAACCCACAACAGTACAATCAGTCTGTATATGCAGTAAAGCACGCTTGTTATACTCACTGTGGAACCTAAGGGGTTAATGCTCTGCATTGTGTAAAAAGGATGTTTGATCCTGACTTCTATGATCCTCCCCTTCTTTCAGTGTCCCCTTCTTATCTCCTGATAAGACATATCATGTGGAGGCACTCAGCACATGCTCAGTTTGGTGTGTATTGCTAGAGAGGTTTTTTTTTTTTCTTGGGAGAGTGCATGTGATCAGCACAGGGCCGATCAGCACTGCCCAGGCAGAGGTCAGGGGTTCTGCATCATCCTAGAGCAGAAAGAAAACTCCTCCTACAAGCTTTAACCAGTGCTTTGCTGGACACTGGTAGAAGTCACAAGACTGCCATATACTGCTGATGCGAAAAGGTATTTAGCACTGAGTACTGTGGGAGACCAAATAGAGTGAATGCAGGGTCCGGGGAGACCGGATATAGTGAATGTAGGGTCCAAGGAGACCAGATATAGTGAATGCAGGGTCCGGGGAGACCAGATATAGTGAATGCAGGGTCCAGGGAGACCAGATATAGTGAATGCAGGGTCCGGGGAGACAAGATATAGTGAATGCAGGGTCCGGAGAGAGCAGATATAGTGAATGCAGGGTTCGGGGAGACCAGATATAGTGAATGCAGGGTCCGGGGAGACCAAACATAGTGAATGCCGGGTCCGGGGAGACCAGATATAGTGAATGCAGGGTCCGGGGAAACCAGATATAGTGCATGCAGGGTCCGGGGAGACCGAATAAAGTGAATGCAGGGTCCAGGGAGACCGGATATAGTGAATGCAGTTGTCCGGGGGACCGGATATAGTGAATGCAGGGTGTCCGGGGACCAGATATAGTGAATGCAGGGTCCGGGGGACCAGATATAGTGAATGCAGGGTCCGGGGACCAGATATAGTGAATGCAGGGTCCGGGGAGACCAGATATAGTGAATGCAGGGTCCAGGGAGACCAGATATAGTGCATGCAGTATTCCGAGGGGACCAGATATAGTGAATGCAGGGTCCGGGGAGACCAGATATAGCGAATGCAGGGTCTGGGGAGACCAGATATAGTAAATGCAGTAGTCTGAGGGGACCATATATAGTGCATGCAGGGTCTGGGGGGACCAGATATAGTGAATGCAGGGTTCGGGGAGACCGGATATAGTAAATGCAGGGTCCAGGGAGACCAGATATAGTGAATGCAGGGTCCAGGGAGACCAGATATAGTGAATGCAGGGTCTGGGGAGACCAGATATAGTGATTGCAGGGTCCGGGGAGACCAGATATAGCGAATGCAGGGGGAGACCAGATATAGTGAATGCAGGGTCCGGGGAAACCAGATATAGTGAATGCAGGGTGCAGGGAGACTGGATATAGTCCGAGGTGACCGGATATAGTGAATGCAGGGTCCGAGGTGACCAGATATAGTGAATGCAGGGTCTGGGGAGACCGGATATAGTGAATGCAGGGTCCGGGGAGACCAGATATAGTGAATGCAGGGTTCGGGGAGACCAGATATAGTGAATGCAGGTTCTGGGGAGACCAGATATAGTGAATGCAGGGTCCGGGGAGACCAGATATAGTGAATGCAGGGTCCGGGGAGACCAGATATAGTGAATGCAGGGTCCGGGGAAACCAGATATAGTGCATGCAGGGTCCGGGGAGACCACATATAGTGAATGCAGGGTCCGGGGAGACGGATATAGTGAATGCAGGGTCCAGGGAGACCGGATATAGTGAATGCAGGGTCCGCGGGGACCGGATATAGTGAATGCAGGGTCCGGGGAGATCGGATATAGTGAATGCAGGGTCTGGGGAGACCGGATATAGTGAATGCAGGGTCCGGGGGACCAGATATAGTGAATGCAGGGTCCGAGGAGACCAGATATAGTGAATGCAGGGTCCAGGGAGACCAGATCTAGTGCATGCAGTATTCCGGGGGGACCAGATATAGTGAATGCAGGGTCTGGGGAGACCAGATATAGTAAATGCAGTAGTCCGGGGGGACCATATATATAGTGCATGCAGGGTCTGGGGGGACCAGATATAGTGAATGCAGGGTCCGGGGAGACCGGATATAGTGAATGCAGGGTCCGGGGAGACAAGATATAGTGAATGCAGGGTCCGGGAAGACCAGATATAGTGATTGCAGGGTCTGGGGATACCAGATATAGTGAATGCAGGGTCCGGGGAGACCAGATATAGTGAATGCAGGGTCCGGGGAGACCGGATATAGTGAATGCAGGGTCTGGGGAGACCAGATATAGTGAATGCAGGGTCCGGGGAGACCGGATATAGTGAATGCAGGGTCTGGGGAGACCATATATAGTGAATGCAGGGTCCGGGTGACCGGATATAGTGAATGCAGGGTCCGGAGAGACCAGATATAGTGAATGCAGGGTCCGGGGAGAGACCGGATATAGTGAATGCAGGGTCCGCGGAGACCGGATATAGTGAATGCAGGGTCCGGGGAGACCAGATATAGTGAATGCAGGGTATGGGGAGACCAGATATAGTGAATGCAGGGTCCGGGGGGACCAGATATAGTGAATGCAGGGTCCGGGGAGACCAGATATAGTGAATGCAGGGTCCGGGGAGACCAGATATAGTGAATGCAGGGTCCGGGGAGACCAGATATAGTGAATGCAGGGTCCGAGGAGACCAGATATAGTGAATGCAGGGTCCAGGGAGACCAGATCTAGTGCATGCAGTATTCGGGGGGACCAGATATAGTGAATGCAGGGTCTGGGGAGACCAGATATAGTAAATGCAGTAGTCCGGGGGGACCATATATAGTGCATGCAGGGTCTGGGGGGACCAGATATAGTGAATGCAGGGTCCGGGGGAGACCGGATATAGTGAATGCAGGGTCCGGGGAGACAAGATATTGTGAATGCAGGGTCCGGGAAGACCAGATATAGTGAATGCAGGGTCCGGGGAGACCAGATATAGTGAATGCAGGGTCCGGGGAGACCGGATATAGTGAATGCAGGGTCTGGGGAGACCAGATATAGTGAATGCAGGGTCCGGGGAGACCGGATATAGTGAATGCAGGGTCTGGGGAGACCATATATAGTGAATGCAGGGTCCGGGGTGACCGGATATAGTGAATGCAGGGTCCGGGGAGACCAGATATAGTGAATGCAGGGTCCGGGGAGACCGGATATAGTGAATGCAGGGTCCGCGGAGACCGGATATAGTGATGCAGGGTCCGGGGAGACCAGATATAGTGAATGCAGGGTATGGGGAGACCAGATATAGTGAATGCAGGGTCCGGGGGGACCAGATATAGTGAATGCAGGGTCCGGGGAGACCAGATATAGTGAATGCAGGGTCCGGGGAGACCAGATATAGTGAATGCAGGGTCCGGGGAGACCGGATATAGTGAATGCAGGGTCCGGGGAGACCAGATATAGTGAATGCAGGGTCCGGGGAGACCGGATATAGTGAATGCAGGGTCCGGGGAGACCATATATAGTGAATGCAGGGTCCGGGGTGACCGGATATAGTGAATGCAGGGTCCGGGGAGACCAGATATAGTGAATGCAGGGTCCGGGGAGACCGGATATAGTGAATGCAGGGTCCGCGGAGACCGGATATAGAGAATGCAGGGTCCGGGGAGACCAGATATAGTGAATGCAGGGTAGGGGAGACCAGATATAGTGAATGCAGGTGTTCCGGGGGGACCAGATATAGTGAATGCAGGGTCCGGGGAGACCAGATATAGTGAATGCAGGGTCCGGGGGGGGGAGACCAGATATAGTGAATGCAGGGTCCGGGGAGACCGGATATCGTGAATGCAGGGTCTGGGGAGACCATATATAGTGAATGCAGGGTCCGGGGTTTAGTAACACTTTAAAGATCAACTTCAGTAAAAATAATAGAACATTTACTTTCTTGGTGCCATCATACCTGTCCTACTCAATGAACCCTACAAGGGCTTGCAATTCTATACTTTTAAAACTTCAGTTGCTTTTGTTGTAAATCATAGTGAAAACTAGACTGTAACCTTCAGACTGTTTTTTTTTATAAAAGACACCTACAAGAACAACAGAACCAAGCACTCCGTTATCTACAACAACACCTGCACCAACGACAACACCGGTAGGTGGAGTTGGCCTGCTGAATCTCTCCTCCTTCTTCTGCCCCTGTCCTGTTATGTCCATACCTATCACTCCTGGTTATGTTGTCTTCATCAAGTTTTGATTAACCTTTTTGGAGGGTGTGTTTTTAATTTTGCAAGTTTTACTTATTGCGTTTGCTAATTTCCAAGCACTGGTATTCTCTATTGCATACGGCACAACTTTTTAATCTTTGCCCTAACCAAATCAGGAACAGCATAAAGTGTTAGTAAACCCACAACAGTAAAATCAGTCTGTATATGCAGTAAAGCACGCTTGTTTATACTCACTGTGGAACCTAAGGGGTTAATCCTCTGCATTGTGTAAAAAGGATGTTTGATCCTGACTTCTATGATCCTCCCCTTCTTTCAGTGTCCCCTTCTTATCTCCTGATAAGACATATCATGTGGAGGCACTCGGCACATGCTCAGTTTGGTGTGTATTGCTAGAGAGGTTTTTTTTTTTCTTGGGAGAGTGCATGTGATCAACACAGGGCCAATTAGCACTGCCCAGGCAGAGGTCAGGGGTTCTGCATCCTCCTAGAGCAAAAAGAAAACTCCTCCTACAAGCTTTAACCAGTGCTTTGCTGGACACTGGTAGAAGTCACAAGTCTGCCATATACTGCTGATGCGAAAAGGTATTTAGCACTGAGTACTGTGGGAGACCAGATAGAGTGCATGCAGGGTCCAGGGAGACCTGGATATAGTGAATGTAGGGTCTTGGGAAACCAGATATAGTGAATGCAGGGTGCAGGGAGACCAGATATAGTGAATGCAGGGTCCGGGGAGACCAGATATAGTGAATGCAGGGTCCGGGGAGACCAGATATAGTGAATGCAGGGTCCGGGGAGACCGGATATAGTGAATGCAGGGTCCGGGGAGACCAGATATAGTGAATGCAGGGTCCGGGGAGACCGGATATAGTGAATGCAGGGTCTGGGGAGACCATATATAGTGAATGCAGGGTCCGGGGTGACCGGATATAGTGAATGCAGGGTCCGGGGAGACCAGATATAGTGAATGCAGGGTCCGGGGAGACCGGATATAGTGAATGCAGGGTCCGCGGAGACCGGATATAGTGAATGCAGGGTCCGGGGAGACCAGATATAGTGAATGCAGGGTATGGGGAGACCAGATATAGTGAATGCAGGGTCCGGGGGACCAGATATAGTGAATGCAGGGTCCGGGGAGACCAGATATAGTGAATGCAGGGTCCGGGGAGACCGGATATCGTGAATGCAGGGTCTGGGGAGACCATATATAGTGAATGCAGGGTCCTGGGAGACCAGATATAGTGAATGCAGGGTCCGGGGAGACCGGATATCGTGAATGCAGGGTCTGGGGAGACCATATATAGTGAATGCAGGGTCCGGGGTTTAGTAACACTTTAAAGATCAACTTCAGTAAAAATAATAGAACATTTACTTTCTTGGTGCCATCATACCTGTCCTACTCAATGAACCCTACAAGGGCTTGCAATTCTATACTTTTAAAACTTCAGTTGCTTTTGTTGTAAATCATAGTGAAAACTAGACTGTAACCTTCAGACTGTTTTTTTTTTTTATAAAGACAACTACAAGAACAACAGAACCAAGCACTTCGTTACCTACAACAACACCTGCACCAACGATAACACCGGTAGGTGGAGTTGGCCTGCTGAATCTGTCCTCCTTCTTCTGCCCCTGTCCTGTTATGTCCATACCTACCACTCCTTGTTATGTTGTCTTCATCAAGTTTTGATTAACCTTTTTGGAGGGTGTTTTTTTTTTAATTTTGCAAGTTTTACTTATTGCGTTTGCTAATTTCCAAGCACTGGTATTCTCTATTGCATACGACATAACTGTTTAATCTTTGCCCTAACCAAATCAGGAACAGCATAAAGTGTTAGTAATCCCATAACAGTACAATCAGTCTGTATATGCAGTAAAGCACGCTTGTTATACTCACTGTGGAACCTAAGGGGTTAATCCTCTGCATTGTGTAAAAAGGTTGTTTGATCCTGACTTCTATGATCCTCCCCTTCTTTCAGTGTCCCCTTCTTATCTCCTGATAAGACATATCATGTGGAGGCACTCGGTACATGCTCAGTTTGGTGTGTATTGCTAGAGAGGTTTTTTTTTTCTTGGGAGAGTGCATGTGATCAGCACAGGGCCGATCAGCACTGCCCAGGCAGAGGTCAGGGGTTCTGCATCCTCCTAGAGCAGAAAGAAAACTCCTCCTACAAGCTTTAACCAGTGCTTTGCTGGACACTGGTAGAAGTCGCAAGACTGCCATATACTGCTGATGCGAAAAGGTATTTAGCACTGAGTACTGTGGGAGATCAGATATAGTGAATGCAGGGTCCGGGGAGACCGGATATAGTGAATGCAGGGTCCTGGGAGACCGGATATAGTGAATGCAGGGTCCTGGGAGACCAGATATAGTGAATGCAGGGTCCGGGAGGACCAGATATAGTGAATGCAGGGTCCAGGGACCAGATATAGTGAATGCAGGGTCCGGGGAGACCGGATATAGTGAATGGGTCCGGGGAGACCGGATATAGTAAATGTAGGGTCCAAGGTGACCAGATATAGTGAATGAATGCAGGGTCCGGGGAGACCGGATAGTAGTGAATGCAGGGTTACTCTGGGTGAGACCGGGTATAGTGAATGCAGGGTCCAGGGGAGAGACGGATATAGTGAATGCAGGGTCCGGGGAGACCAGATATAGTGAATGCAGGGTCCTGGGAGACCCTGTTTTTTTTTTATAAAGATATAGTGAATGCAGGGTCCAAGCAGGGTTACGAGACCGGATATAGTGAATGCAGGGTCCTGGGAGACCAGATATAGTGAATGCAGGGTTCCAGGGTCCGGGGGAGACCGGAGTATAGTGAATGCAGGGTCAGGGAGACCCAGCTATAGTGAATGCAGGGGTCCTGGAGACCAGGATTATAGTGAATGCAGGGTCCGGGGAGACCAGATATAGTGAATGCAGGGTCCGGGGAGACCAGATATAGTGAATGCAGGGTCCTTATTAGGACCGGAAATAGTGAATTTTCCGGGGAGAAGACCGGATATCGGATATAGTGAATGCAGGGTCCGGGGAGTGACGGATATAGTGAATGCAGGGTCTGGGGCAGACCGGATATAGTGAATGCAGGGTCCAAGGTGGAGACCAGATATAGTGAATGTGAATGCAGGGTCCGGGAGCGAGGATCCGGGGAGACCGGATATAGTGAATGCAGGGTCCGGGGGAGGACGGATATAGAGACCAGATATAGTGAATGCAGGGTCCGGGGAGACCGGATGACCAGTATAGTGAATGCAGGGTCCGGGGAGACCGGATATATAGTGAATGCAGGGTCCGGGGAGACGGATATAGTGAATGCAGGGTCTCCAAGGAGATGTAAGATATAGTGAACCGGATGCAGGGTCCGGGGAGACCAGGTATAGTGAATGCAGGGTCCGGGGAGGATATAGTGAATGCAGGGTCCGGGGAGGACCAGATATAGTGAATGCAGGGTAGACGGGAGACCGGATATAGTGAATGCAGGGTCCGGGGAGACCAGGATATAGTGAATGCAGGGTCGGGGAGACCGGATATAGTGAATGCAGGGTCCGGGGAGACCGGATATAGTGAATGTAGGGTCCAAGGTGACCAGATATAGTGAATGCAAGGTGACCAGATATAGTGAATGATGGTCGGGGAGATTTAGTCAATGCAGGGTCCGGGGAGACCAGGTATAGTGAATGCAGGGTACGGGGAGAGACCAGGATATAGTGAATGCAGGGTCCGGGGAGACCGGATATAGTGAATGCAGGGTCTGGGGAGACCGGATATAGTGAATGCAGGGTCCGGAGGTGACCAGATATAGTGAATGCAGGGTCCTGGGAGACCGGATATAGTGAATGCAGGGTCCTGGGGAGAGCCAGATATTTAGTGAATGCAGGGTCCAGGGTGACCGGATAGGTGAATGCAGGGTCTGGGGTGACCGGATATAGTGAATGCAGGGTCCGGGGAGACCAGATATAGTGAATGCAGGGTCCTGGGAGACCAGCTATAGTGAATGCAGGGTCCGGGGAGAGTTCAGATATAGTGAATGCAGGGTCCGGGGGTGTAGACCAGGTATAGTGAATGCAGGGTCCGGGGACCAGATATAGTGAATGCAGGGTCCGGGGCGACCAGATATAGTGAATGCAGAGTCCGGGAGACCGGATATAGTGAATGCAGGGTCCTGGGAGACCAGCTATAGTGAATGCAGGGTCCGGGGAGGACCGGATATAGTGAATGCAGGGTCTGGGGAGACCAGATATAGTGAATTCAGGGTCTGGGGAGACCGGATATAGTGAATGCAGGGTCCGGGGAGACCGGATATAGTGAATGCAAAGGTCTGGGGGAGGACCGGATATAGTGAATGTAGGGTCCAAGGTGACCATATATAGTGAATGCAGGGTCCTGGGAGATTGGATATAGTGAATCCAGGGTCCTGGGAGACCAGCTATAGTGAATGCAGGGTCCAGGGTGACCGGATACGGTGAATGCAGGGTCCGGGGAGACCGGATCTAGTGAATGTAGGGTCCGGGTGACCAGATATAGTGAATGCAGGGTCCGGGGAGTTCAGATATAGTGAATGCAGGGTCCGGGGAGACCAGGTATAGTGAATGCAGGGTCCGAGGAGACCAGGTATAGTGAATGCAGGGGCCGGGGGGACCAGGATATAGCTTATGCAGTAGTCAGGGGAGACCAGATATAGTGAATGCAGGGTCCGGGGGGGACCAGATATAGTGAATGCAGGGTTCCGGGTAGACTGGATATAGTGAATGCAGGGTCCGGGGAGACTGGATATAGTGAATTGCAGGGTCCGGGGAGACCAGATATAGTGAATGCAGGGTCCAGGGAGACCGGTTATAGTGAATGCAAGGTCCGGGGAGACCGGATATAGTGAATGCAGGCTCCAGGAGGAGACCGGATATAGTGAATGCAGGGTCCGGGGGAGACGGCGGATATAGTGAATGCAGGGTCCGGGGAGACCAGATATAGTGAATGCAGGGTCCGGGGAGACCAGATATAGTGAATGCAGGGTCCGGGCAGAGCAGATATAGTGAATACGAGGTCCGGGGAGACCGGATATAGTGAATGCAGGGTCCTGGGAGACCAGATATAGTGAATGCAGGGTCCGGGGAGACCAGATATAGTGAATGCAGGGTCCGGGGTGACCAGATATAGTGAATGCAGGGTCCGGGGTTTAAGTAACACTTTAAAGAACAACTTCAGTAAAAATATAGAACATTTACTTTCTTGGTGCCATCATACCTGTCCTACTCAATGAACCCTACAAGGGCTTGCAATGCTATACTTTTAAAGCTTCAGTTGCTTTTGTTGTAAATCATAGTGAAAACTAGACTGTAACCTTCAGACTGTGATTTTTTTTAATAAAGACAACTACAAGATAACAACAGAAACAATCCCTGTGTTACCTTCAACAACACTTGCACCATCGGACAACACCGGTAGGTGGAGTTGGCCTGCTGAATCTGTCCTCCTTCTTCTGCCCCTGTCCTTTTATGTCCATACCTACCACTCCTTGTTTATGTTGTCTCTGTTAAATTTTGATTAACCTTTTTGGAGGGAGTTTTTTTTTAATTATTTTGCAAGTTTTACTTATTGCGTTTGCTAATTCAAGCACTGGTATTCTCTATTGCATACGGCATAACTTTTAAATCTTTGCCCTAACCAAATCAGGAAACAGCTTAAAGTGTTAGTAAACCCATAACAGTATAATCAGTCTGTACAGTAATATGCCCTAACCCTAAGACATATTGTGTAGAGGCACTCTGCACACATGCTCAGTTTGGTGGTGTATTGCTAGAGAGATTTTGTTTTTTTTTCTTGAGAGAGTGCATGTGATCAGCACAGGGCTGATCAGCACTGCCCAGGCAGAGGTCAGGGGTTCTGTATCCTCTAGAGCAGAAAGAAATCTCCTCCTACAAGCTTTAACCGTGCTTTGCTGGACATTGGTAGAAGTCACAAGACTGCTGTATACTGCTGATGAGAAAAGGTATTTAGCAGTTTATATTTACTAAAATAATTGCATTTCCATGTTGTGTGTACTGTGGGAGTCCAGGTATAGTGGAATCCAGGGTCCGGGTTTATATAGTGAATGCAGGGTCAGGGGTTTATATAGTGAATGCAGGGTCCCGGGGTTTATATAGTGAATGCAGGGTCCCAGGTTTTATAGTGAATGCAGGGTCCCAGGTTTTATATAGTGAATAAAGGGGCCTGGGTTTATATATTAATGCAGGGTCCCGGGTTTTATATAGTTAATGCAGGGCCCCGGGTTTATATAGCGAATGCGGGTCCCGGGTTTTTATAGTGAATGCAGGATCCCGGGTTTTATATAGTGAATGCAGGAGCCTGGGTTTATATAGTGAATGTAGGGTCCTGGGTTTATATAGTGAATGCAGGGGCCCGGGCTTATATCGTGAATGCAGGGTCCTGGGTTTATATAGTGAATGTAGGGTCCTGGGTTTATATAGTGAATGCAGGGTCCTGGGTTTATATAGTGAATGCAGGGTCTGGGTTTATATAGTGAATGCAGGATCCCGGGTTTATATAGTGAATGCAGGAGCCTGGGTTTATATAGTGAATGCAGGGGCCTGGGTTTATATAGTGAATGTAGGGTCCTGGGTTTATATAGTGAATGCAGGGCCGGGCTTATATAGTGAATGCAGGGTCCTGGGTTTATATAGTGAATGTGCAGGGTCTGGGTTTATATAGTGAATGCATGGTCCCGGGTTTATATAGCGAATGCATGGTCCCCCGGTTTATAAAGTGAATGCAGGGTCCCGGGTTTATATAGTGAATGCATGATCCCGAGTTTTATATAAAACCCGGGACCCTGCATCACTATATAAACTCGGGATCCCTGCATTCACTATATAAACCCGGACCCTGCATTCACTTTATAAATCTGGGACCATGCATTCGCTATATAAACCTGGGCCCTTGCATTCACTATATAAACTCGGGACCCTGCATTCACTATATAAACCCGGAACCCTGCATTCACTATATAGTGAATGCAGGGTCCCGAGTTTATATAGTGAATGCAAGGGCCTGGGTTTATATAGTGAATGCAGGGTCCTGGGTTTATATAGTGAATGCAGGGTCCCGGGTTTATATAGTGATTGCAGGGTCCCGGGTTTATATAGTGAATGCAGGGTCCTGGGTTTATAAAGTGAATGCAGGGTCCTGGGTTTATAAAGTGAATGCAGGGTCTTGGGTTTTATATAGTGAATGCAGGATCCCGGGTTTATATAGTGAATGCAGGGGCCCGGGTTTATATAGTGAATGCAGGGTCCCTGGGTTTATATAGTGAATGCAAGGTCCCCGGGTTTATATAGTGAAATGCAGGATCCCCGGGTTTTTATAGTGAATGCAGGGGCCCAGGTTTATATAGTGAATGCAGGGGCCGGGGTTTATATAGTGAATGTATGGTCCTGGGTTTATATAGTGAATGCAGGGGCCTGGGTTTATATAGTGAATGCAGGGTCCCGGGTTTATATAGTGAATGCAGGGTCCCTGGGTTTATATAGTGAATGCAGGGTCCCCCGGGGTTTATATAGTGAATGCAGGGGCCCCGGGTTTATATAGTGAATGCAGGGTCCCGAGTTTATATAGTGAATGCAGGGGCCGGGGTTTGTATAGTGAATGTAGGGTCCTGGCTTTATATAGTGAATGCAGGGGCCCAGGTTTATATAGTGAATGCAGGGGCCGGGGTTTATATAGTGAATGTAGGGTCCTGGGTTTATATAGTGAATGCAGGGGCCCGGGTTTATATAGTGAATGCAGGGGCCGGGTTTATATAGTGAATGCAGGGTCCCGGGTTTATACAGTGAATGGAGGGTCTTAGGTTTATATAGTGAATGCAGGGGCCCGGGTTTTATATACTGAATGCAGGGTCCCAGGTTTATATGGTGAATGCAGGATCCCGGGTTTTATATAGTGAATGCAGGGTCCCGGGTTTATATAGTGAATGCAGGGGCCCAGGTTTAAATAGTGAATGCAGGGTCCCGGGTTTATATAGTGAATGCAGGGGCCCGGGTTTACATAGTGAATGCAGGGGCCCAGGTTTATATAGTGAATGCAGGGTCCCGGGTTTATATAGTGAATGCAGGGTCCTGGGTTTATATAGGGAATGCAGGGTCCGGGGTTTATATAGTGAATGCAGGGTCCCGGGTTTATATAGTGAATGCAGGGTCCTGGGTTTATATAGTGAATGCAGGGTCCGGGGTTTATTACCACTTTAAAGATCAACTTTAGTAAAAATAATAGAACATGTACTTGGTGTCATCATTCCTGTCCTTCTTCTCACTGTCTGTCACCCTTACGGGACTTTTACTTTTAAAACTTCAGTTTCTTCTGTTGTAAATCATAGTGAAAACTAGACTGTAACCTTCAAACTTTGTTTTTTTCATAAAGACAACTACAAAACCAACAGAAACAAGCACTTGGTTACTTGGATCAACACCTGTACAATCGACAACGTTAGTTGGAGTTGGGTCGCCTATGCCTAACGATGTGAGGACCGTTTTTGTATAACTCAGTTTCCTATAATAAAACCATTTTTTTAAAAATATATTTAATACGAAGTGTGAGCCCAAAGTTTTGGACTACAGTCACTCCCAACATCACGTTACAGACCTGCTAAAGCTTCCATCCTTCTTTTTCTGTCCCTGTCCTGTTATGTTTGTGTCCATACCTACCAGTCCTTGTTATTTTGTCTTCTCTGTTCCTATTTTCCGTGTCCCAGTTCTGTCATTTTTGTCTTGTCTTGTCACCAAATCGGCAATGCTTTATGCCATTCTATTTTATTATTCAACATCCAGCTTGGTAAGTGACCTATGGTAAAAAGGGCATGGACAGTCTGATCTAGTCCCCTCAACCTGTGCGTCATTTGTCAAATTACACGCCATTATGTCTGGATATCGTCTCATGATCAGGTCTTGTGGCTTTTAATTTGTGTCTTGTTGACCTTCGAGTGTTGACTGTTGACTTACCTGACTCTGCAATTTGACTTTTGATGACTCCAGTCTCTCGCTTGTTCCCTGCCTTATGGAATATTTATTTTTTGTTGTCTTACACGGTTGCACCATTGTTTCATGTTTTCCAAGTTTCATAAACGAAAGTAAAAGAAAGAATGAAAGGAGATGTATGTTAAAGTATGACAGTGGACCTATAGTTAGACAACAGTTCCAAGCCCTCCTGCCTTCATTGCTCTATACAAATGAAAGCAAAAAGAGGGCACACCCGGTCTAGTGCATTATCGTAAAGAATATTTATTTAAAAGGATAAAAAGTAGGTATCATACTCACAATGGATCTAGCCTCTTCCCCGAAACGCGTTAGCCAGTTGGAAGTCCAGGGTTCCATTGTTTTTTTTGGATTTATATGCTATATGGATTGGACACCAACTGTTTATTGTGATGTGTGTCTTTGTTTTATATGTCCATTGTGAGTATGATACCTACTTTTTATCCGTTCAAATAAATATTCTTTACGATAATGCACTAGGCCGGTGCGCCCTCTTTTTGCTTTCTTTTGTATCCAGTGACTTTGGACTACCCCGGTCCATTGAAGGCAGCAAGGAGTTCATATTCCAGGATATCTGACCATAGTCTCTGCTGAGTCCATCCCCAGCGCAGGAGTTTAGAGTTTTCTGTGTTTCACTTCATTGCTCTATCTCAATGTTTCTCAACCAGGGTTCCTCCTGAGGTTGCTAGGGTTCCTTGAGCTTAGAGCAATGGTGGATTGATCTACCACCTTCACTGATCACCAATGCAAAGAAGTAATTTCCCACTGCTTCTAAATTGACACTAATGTTAGAATGGACACCAAGTAAGCCACATTACGTATTTTTATATTTAAACCATTCTTTGACTATACTATTATTCATGTATCATGAGTGGTATACAAAATTCCTTTTTTAGCAGGGGTTCCCCGAGGACTGAAATGATTGCAAGGCTTCCTCAGGGATAAAAAGGTTGAGAAAGGCACATCAGTAGATGGAAACAGAAGCCCAGAAATAATTACCTGTCATGAAAAATGGCTACAGTTAGTCACATAACCAAGTGCCTTATCCTGTGACCCAGCCATGTGGTAATCTAGGAGCAATAATATCCGTAAGACAAGTATTTCCTGGATTCTATTGTATTTCATATTATTTAAAGTAACAGCAGGATAGGCAGCTTGGCAGGGGGTAAATCAAAAACTCACTCATTTTGATTTATAGGGTCTTTAGTACAGAGATCCACCAATCAGACATCCACTTTTACTCCACCAATCTGTGGAGGTTTTCCAAAATGAAAAATCCAATAGGAAGAGTAAGCCTTCTTCAGTACAGCTATATGTGGGAGGGGCTGGGAACTAAGGTGCAAAGGATATTAAAAAAAAATCTACACAGAATTTAAATATTAATTTCAGGTAGATTGACCCTTGAAATAAGTATTCGTATCCACTTGAAAGTGCTCAAATGAGGAATTAAAAAAAAAAGTTATCTTGTATTTATATATCAATGTTTAGTTTGTATATAAGTACATTTAATACTGATGGAATATAAAAAAGTTTGTCAAAAGCAAAATAATTCATTATTATATTTAATGCTTTGCAGTGCCCTCCTTATCTGCAGGCTGGTAAGTACACAGATTGTTATTTAAATATTTATTTTCCAGTATATGAGTAAGAACTACGTACGTCAGCTGTTAATTCACGCATGTTTTCTCTATAACAGGTCAGAAAATCTGCTCTAACTATGTTGGGGTGTAAGTATCCTCTTAAACATTCTATGTGATGAACACAGGGCTTTTTTTTTCTCGAAGAATAGGTGCAGGAACCCCCCCTCCCTTCTGAGTCACCCTTGTTTCTGTCCCCCTACCCTCCTCCAAGCATCGTCCTTTGGTTCACCCCCTACCCACTTCCCAGTACCGCTCCTTTTAGAGAATACAGAGCTAAGTATCGATTTGTATGGAATTTGTTAATGATAACAAGAAAAGCAGTAAAATAGATCCCCTGCAGCCAGCAACAATAGATTCCCCCAGCAAAATACCACCCCAGCAATAATAGATCCCAAGCAGCAACAACAGATATCCCATCAGCAAACAACAATAGACCCTTCCTCAAACTTAGATCCCCCTCGGTAATAATTGACCTCCCAGCAACAATAGATCCTTTCCCAGCAACAATAGACCTCCCCAACAACAAATGGACCACCATGCAAAAATAGATTCTCTCCAGTGACAATAGATCCCCCAGCAGTCATCATCAATAGACCCTCCAGCACATCTCAGCACTCCTTGCCATTACATGCATTCAGTGCTGGAGGTGCTAAAACTGCGTTCCCCCCCGAATATACAGCTAGAGCTAAGGTAAGGCCTTGTTCTCAAAATCAAAGAAAGCTTTTATTTTTTTGCAACAGAGATACATTTAGGGAATATTGGTACATAGGGCTGGAATTTTGAAAAAAAAAGGTGAACTTAGCCTTTAACAATGACTTTTGCTTATTAGATATATTTTGTTCCTTTAAACATACAATTGAAAGCATTTTGTTATATCTATTTGATAAGTGCAAAAAAAATACTTATCGATCCAGCCAGAGATCAAGTGCTGTCCTATGTCCTGTGCACTTTGCAGTGCTATCTCAAGCAACATTTTCAGCCCTTCCTAGGTGACTTCTGTGAACTACAGAACACCCTCCTCCTATGTTATTGAGGTGAGAAAAGGGATAGGTTTTCTGTAGTTCTGCTCCTCCTATAAATACAGTGAGGATTGTCATCCTGTTTTCAGGACATGTTTTACTGGCAGGATCACAAGATAAAAAAAAATAACAGAAAAAAAGCCTGAAAAAACTTGACAGTAAAACCCTCTTAAAACGACACACTTTTTTATTTTGCACATGGGACTTGAGGCACATCACTAATTCAACAAATCTAAACAGAACAATTCTATAATGTATCAATACACAATATACATATCAGACTGGATGTCACAGCACTTCCTGAAACTCAATCTATCCAAAACTGAGCTCATAATATTTCCTCCCCCACGTGCCTCTTCCCCTGATTTCTCAGTCAGGATAAATAGCACCACTATCAACCCATCCCCGCATGCCAGGGTGCTAGGGGTAACCCTGGATTCTGAACTATCTTTTCAGGCCCACATCCAATCCCTGTCCAAATCATGCTGCCTCAACATCCGCAATATCTCCAGAATACGCCCTTTTCTAACCAATGATACCAGAAAGCTAATTCACTCCCTGGTTATCTCTCGCCTCGACTACTGCAACTCCCTCCTCATTGGCTTACCTTTACATAGGCTATCTCCCCTCCAGTCCATCATGAATACTGCTGCCGGGCTCATCCACCTTACCAACCATTCAGTGTCTGCTACCCCTCTCTGCCAATCCCTCCACTGGCCTCCATTCAGTGTCTCCACCCCTCTCTGCCAATCCCTCCACTGGCCTCCACTCAGTGTCTTCCACCCCTCTCTGCCAATCCCTCCACTGGCCTCCACTCAATGTCCTCCACCCCTATCTGCCAATCCCTCCACTAGCCTCCATTCAGTGTCCTCCACCCCTCTCTGCCAATCCCTCCACTGGCCTCCACTCGGTGTCCTCCACCCCTCTCTGCCAATCCCTCCACTGGCCTCCACTCAGTGTCCTCCACCCCTCTCTGCCAATCCCTCCACTGGCCTCCACTCAGTGTCTTCCACCCCCTCTCTGCCAATCCCTCCACTGGCCTCCACTCAATGTCCTCCACCCTCTCTGCCAATCCCTCCACTAGCCTCCACTCAGTGTCCTCCACCCCTCTCTGCCAATCCCTCCGCTGGCCTCCACTCAGTGTCCTCCATCCCTCTCTGCCAATCCCTCCACTCAGTGTCTGCTAACCCTCTCTTCCAATCCCTGCACTGGCTTCCACTCGCCCAACTAATAAAATTCAAAATACTAAGAACAACTTACAAAGTCATCCAGAACTCTGCCCCCAGCTACATCACCCACCTGGTCTCAAAATCTCAACCAAACCGCTCTCTTTGATCCTCCCAAGACCTTCTGCTCTCTAGTGTCCATGTCACCTCCTTCCATGCTCACCTCTAGAACTTCTCCCATCCTGTGGGACTCCCAACCCCAATCTGCCCAGCTGTCTCCTAAACTATCCACCTTTAGATGATCCTTGAAAACCCTTCTCTTTAAAGAAGTCTATCCTGCTTCTACCTAGTAAACCGCCATTTATTTCC